AAACAAAGCCACAATAAACATGGGTATGCATATATCTACTTGGGTGCCATTTATGGTCTCTTTAGGGTATATTCCCAGTAGTGTAATTGCTGGGTCAAAAGGTATCTCTATTTGCAACTTTTTGAGAAAGCGCCACATCGCTTTCCACAGTGGTTGCACCATTTTACATTCCCACCAACAGTGAAGACAGAGACCTTTCTCTATGACACATTAACAGATTAACAGAGTGGATATTGGTCCCATGCCCCATCTTTGATGCATGCATTGTGTTCCCACCTCCCACCCCATCCTGCCAGCATCCCGCTCAGTTTTTTCTCCGAGCCCCTCCATTATCATCCACCACCTACCTGCAGTCACCCTTTAGTAAGACCTTTCCCCAGTGATATCAAGATCTTCCATCACTGCATCTATGAAGCAGATTGAGTGCCTTGCAAGGTTGGAGTTCCAGTACTTCCAACCCTGACTCACTTGTTAGTTCCTAACATTCGTAATGTTCCTAACATTCATAACTCACAGGTGGCCTAGTGGGTTAGGACTGTGTAAGGACTTGAGCAAGTGGTTCCAATACACCAGCTGCTCTGCAGGAGAAAGATGGGAAATCTCCCATATGATTTATAGCTTCTGAAAACTGGCTGGAGGGTGAACTATATTTCAGTTGCAACTTGAGAGATATGAGTTGCATTTCTTCATGGGTATGAGTTCCAAATTCAGAAGTTATCTGGGAAAGCATGGTCAAGGGGAGGGAGAGACATAACCAAAATGCAAAGATTGGAGAATGTTATGCATACTTAAGAAACAGTGAGGAATTCAGATGAGTAGCATATAGTTAGTAGACAAGGAAATAATGGCAGCGAGAGCTAGAAAGGGAGTCTGGGGTCTAGTACTAGACATTATACCATATCTTGTTATGTGCTGCTGAGTCCTAGATGATTCACAGCAACTCTATGAATGAAAGACCTATACTATATCTGTTGTTATGTTGTTAAGTGCCTTCGAATCATAGGCAGCTCATAGCGACCCTATGAACGAAAGTCCTCAACACCTGAGTGACTTTCATCCTTTCTCCAGGTTCATAGGGTTTCTAGAGGCAAGCTATTTAAAGAAGTGGATGCCACTCCTGCTACCAAGCTTGTTTTAATCGTGGAGCTCCACCAAACATTGTCCACCATGGGTAATCATTAACACATTTGACACATCAGTGTCACAGTATTTAGCTTCGCAGCAACCACAAGTTATGGCAAGTGGACACACCAGAGCTATACGACCCAGAAGAATGTTTGAACAAAACCAATGAAAAACAGTATTTTCATTGTCCAGTATTTTACCATTCCAGCACACCCAAATGCTGGTGAACTCTGGGCCAGAGTCCTCCAGTTCATCTGACAAGTCTGCTCTGCTGACATCCACTTGTGGCAAAAAGAAAGCCACAAGATCCCAGAGCATTCCATACTCGCTTCTCTTCAAGTCGCAAGAGGCTGCATCTAGCTGGCTCTAAGACTCCCAAGACATTCGTCCTCACCCTGCAGGCATGTCCCAACATTTCAGTATTTCACCATTCCAATACACCTAAATGCTATATTTAGCTGACAAAAATATTTAGATCCGAAGAAGGGCATATGGATGTTTCAAAGGTTATTTGTTTTGTTTTTAATTAATTTTATTATTTTTTGTGCATGTACTGTCACATCAGATCTGACTGGTACAGGAGGAGATTGTCCCTCCTTCTCGAGCAGGGCATATGGTGGATTCAAACCACACACCTCTACGATTGCAGTGTAGCTTCTTGCCACTAGATCACTAGAGCTCTTTCAAAGGTTATTTGTAAAGATTACTTATGTGGGGTAAATTAGTACTGGATGAACTTGAGGTGGAATGATAGTAGCAGATGTATTAAGAACTTGACCTTGGCCTTGGCATATGGTTGTGAAGGTAAGAGTGGAAGGGAATCTGTGTGCTCTTGCCATGGCCTTCCTTGGTGCTTGTTTTTCATCATTTACACTCACTCATTGCTGTGAACTAGAAACCAACTCATAACACACCATCCAGACAGTTTTTGTAGGCCAGAAGTCACACAGGAGGAGATAGTACCTTTTTTGTCCCTCAGAGCCACACAGGGATTCAAACCACCAAAGAGGCAACACCTTTGGGCTGGCAGTGTGACTTCCTGAGGACAATGCCACCAGTGCCCCCTCCTTCACTAATTAGAAGGAACCAAGTCCGAGTGGCCTCTTACCTGGGCGAAGTGTACAGTTATAGGCAAGTACATGGAGAATTCTCTCTGGCTTAGAGACATAAAACATTATTTTGCACTGACCATAAACCTGCAAACAAACATACACGTTTTATAACAATGTGGGACAAACTGTGTTTTTAAAATACTAAATAATTGGGATTTGGAGATTTGTTTTTCTTTTTTAAAAGAAGGTAATCTGATAGTAAAAGTCTAGTTTTGGTTGGGTTGAGAGTGTGTGTGTGTGTGTGGGGGGGGATAAATTGGTGGCTAAGCATCAAAATTGTTTCACCTTCACCTTTTATTCCCAGGACACAGATAGACTACATGCCCAGCTTTCCTCAGTTAATGTGGCTTTGCACACTTGAGTTCTGATCACAGAAAAGAGGGCAGAAGTGATATGGACCATTTCTGGATTGGATCTATGGAGATCTACCCTGTGATAACACATCTCCCTACTCCTCTTTGATAGCTTGAGGCAGGCAAGCGTGCCCCCAGGGAGGCCATAGCTGAGGATTGCCCAGCCCAGAGCCACTATGTACATACAAGGAGTTTGATTCTCCAAATGACCCCTTGGAAGAAAGTTCCTCTCCTGATCAGGAACTCTCATTTTGAACTTTACATGAGGGAGAAACAAGGCTCGGCCCTGACGAACTCCTTGATATAACTTGCAGTTTGTTATCATGGTTAACATCACCTTCACAGGCATGGTAAACAAGAACCTGAATAGATTCTTTCTCTTCAAAATCAGAAAAATCTCGTTTTATTTATTTGAAGATGTTTTCTTTTTTCCTTTTAAAAAATTATTTCATTTTCTTTCTTTTCAAAACCAGGAATGTGAAGTTTGACATGTTTGATCAAGTAACTAAAAAAAAAGATATATTGGCCAAATAGTTTGTGTGCCAACACTTATATCAATGCCTGAGATTTATCTTCTAAATTTCCATGTCTGTAAATGGAAATAAGCCCAGGAGAGCAAATAAATAGCAAAGAAAAAAACCTGATATTCCTTTGATCTTCTTAAAATTCTCATTTTTTTAGATCCTTTTGATTACATGTTTTCAGGAAAGTTGTTTTCTTTCATGAAACACTTGGAGTGCCTATACATTTTCCTCTACTTTCATTAAAACAAAACACAAAGCTCTCCTTCTGCTGCTTCTATAATTTCTCTTAAAAATACATCCCAATTTTTCAATTCAGATCCCTTTTCACATTTTAGATAATGGTCAGAGTGTGTAAAAGCATCCTGGAAGTCTTGGCTTCACCAGTGTTTGGTAACTTTTCAATACTGGTCTCCATAACCTCAGGGGTACTTCTGGCTTCGCTCCTGATTTATGACACTTCATCCTAAGACTGTTAGAAAAAAATTACATAGACATTCTGATAATGAGACTATCCAAAGAGACACTGAATTAATGACAGATATTGAACAATCTTCACCTTGCAGGAAGATAGTCTATGAAGAATATATCTTTCCTTTTTAGTTGTTGTTACGTACCATTGAGTTGTGTGTGACTCACAGTGATCCTAAGTACAACAGCTCTGAACACTGCTCTACTCTGAGCCAGTATCACTGTCTCTGACACCTACCCCCATTACTCCAGTTACTGTGTTAATCTATCTCATCCAGTCATCCAGGGTCTTCCTCTTCTGCCCTGTCCCTCCACCCTTCCAAGCATGATGTCCTTCTCCAAGGACTGGTTCCTCCTGGCCACTGAGAATGAGTACTTACCGATTCATGTCGGTCCCTCAAGTAACATTCATTCCAAAAAATTTTCTGGCTGAGTGCATGGCAGTATGTCTCCAGCACATCCAAAGTGAAATAGAACAAGGATCCCGTAAAATTCTGCGTATCCTGAAATAGATCACATCCCACCTGAAGCAGAAAGTCCTAGAGACTTACTTGATGGAGGATATAGAGTTGTGAAGAATCTTTAAGGACTGCTGATTACTGGACAAGCTTTGAATAGGATCCTTAGTAACCCATATACCTAATGACAATAGGAACAATTGTAGCCAGTGTGGCAGTGGACTGCCAAGCTTCCTCAGGTGGTTTATAATCTAGTGACTACCCACCACCCTGTGTCACTGGTCCCACCCTCTGGCCAGCCTTTCCAGAACACATTCTCCAGAAGGACCCTCACCTACCTGTCTGTATTGCCAGGCTTCTTTGACTCGGTTTAGGTTCAGTATGTAGCCATCCTGTTGGTCCCGATTGATGAGCCCTAGGGCAAAGTCGGCAAAGTCCAGCACATGTGAGTCATTACAGCCCTGAGGGACGAGAGTGAAGGGCTTGGAGGTCTCCTCGAACAGAATCATAGCCCCAGTGTCCGTGGCCAGGACACAGAGCACCAACGGCAGGAGCAAACTCATCCTGTAAGGACAAGGCTGTGGATGGTCAGGCTGTGGAGGCGAAGGACCACACTGGGCTGCTGGTCCCTTTAAAGGCAGATTTAAGCTGTTTCATAACTGTAATCTGAACTGTTGACCAAGATTTCAAATCTAATGTCCCATTTTATCAACCTTGATTGCCACATCAGGATGTTCATGACTCAATATTTTAGATAGACTTTGCCAAGGTTGTAACTTCAGACCTCTGAGTGAGCTCACATTCATTCACTTGTGTGTAAACAAGTTTCCTAATCATTTCCCCAGAAATACTACTAAATATGTTGTCAAGGCTCCCGGGAGGTCATAATGGATTCCCGCTCATGTCTAATTTTTACCAGGATGATCCTGTCCAGGATTTTCACCCTCTCCCCTATCACCTTCCCCTCAGGACCTGCTGGACCACAGCATAGTTGTCTCAGGCACATGGCCTGAGTGCAAAGTGCAGAGCCCTTGACTGATTCCAAGCTTGCCATTTCCTAAGAGATCAGAAAAATCTAAGTGCTTGCATATATATAAGAGGAGCATGTTCCCAAAGCACTTTGAGCATCTCGTGAGGAAATGTTCTTTAGTCATTCATCTTCGGGGCACTTCAATCTGCTCCTGCAAAAAGTTGAGCCCAAGAATCCCTCTGGAGAAGTTCTATCCCGCCCTATAAGATGGTGAGGAGCCAGACTCTGCTCAGTGGCACACCACAACAGGAGTCCATTTAAATAGGTCCCTGATGCCACACACGTTTTGTACTGAACTGTCAACATAGAGAGTGGGGCTTGCTTGCTGAGCAAAGGTCTGGTGATCTGCATCTCTAAAGATTATTGCAGTTGATGGCTGGTGGCCAATTAGTTCTCATTATGGTGACTCCATGTGTTAGAGCAATAGTAGAGTCTACTTGGCTCTAAACTTAACAGAAGCAGCCACACCATTTCTTTTGTACTCCTATCAGGTTGTGTACTAGGTTAGCAGAGAGCTCTGGAGGCTTAGTGGTAAGGAGTGCACTGCCAACTCAAAGGTAAGGTGTTTGAATCTACCAGCTGCTTCAGGAGAGAGGGATGGGCAGTGTCCTCCAGTGCTATTTACAGCCTCTGAAAACCTGCTGCAGGGTCGACTGTGAGTCAGTTCCAGCTCAACGTACACAACAGCAATGACTAGGTTAGTTTTCACTGTCACCATTTAGATTAGGAATCCAACATGCACCCACTGTGCCGCCTAGATGACAACTAAGAAAACCCTATGAAGTGGTTCTACTCTATAACACATTGGATCCCTGTGGGGCAGAACCAACTAGACAGCAACAAGGTTCATCATTTGGGTTCTTCCCTCACTAATTGATATGATTTCATGAAACACTTTTACTTACAGCCTTCAAGTTGATTAGATTCTCTGTGTTTTTAATTGAGTCAGTTCCAGTTTGTAAAGACCTTCCCTCAGGTTTCTGAAGCTATAGACCTTTATGTGAGGAGGCTGCCCAGCTTCTCCCCTTAGAAAGGGTAGTGGACGCAAACTGCCAGCCCATTAGCCTGTAGCTCAACATGTCTATATTTCACAACTACTAAGGCACTGGGGTCACTTTGAGTCTGAGCTAAGAGGACAGTGCCTAACAAAAGGCTAGTTTAAAGCCACACACACACATTCTTTATTTTTCCTTTAAGAAAAGATTTATGAGACTCTTGTCTGAGCTGGTATTACCAAATGCTTATTCTTGGTCAGTAGGTTTTCTTTTCACCCTGCTGGAAAGAGCTTTTGATGTGCACAGAGATTTACTCTTTAGAAGGTCCCATTAATCAGTTTTATCCTCTTCAGATTATGCATTACCCTCTGAGAAAGAAAGTTTTCAGAATACCCCTGGACCTCCACAGGAAAAAGAAGGATAATCAATTACAAAAATGGGCAAAATACATGGATGCAATTTTCACAGAGGAAGAAATTCATATGGCCAAGAGACACATGAAACAATGCTCAAAATCACTGGCAATTTGAGAGATGCAAATCAAAACCACAATGAGATACCATCTCGCCTCAGTAACAGTGGCAAAATTTAACAAGACAGAAAATAGTTAATGTTGGAAAGGATGTGGCAAGATAGGAACTCTTAAACATTTTTGGTGGGATTATAAAATGGTACAATCACTCTGGAAGGTAGTTTGGCACTTCCTCCAAAAGCTGAGCATAGAAAAACCATATGACCTAACTATTCAACTGCTTGGAAGATTTCTCATGAAAATGAGAACTGAGGCTTAACTGGAGACTTGCACACCAATGTTCATAGCAGCATTATTCACCATCACAAGAACATGGAAACAGCCCAGATATCTAACAATAGAATGGATTGAGAAATTAAGGTACATTCACACAATGGAATACTATGCAGCACATAGGAGCAATGATTTTGCAAATTATTACCTAACTTGAGAGGGATTGGAGAGCATTATGCTGAGTGAACTAGCTCAGTCCCACAAGGAGAAATATCGTATAAAACCATTATTGTAGAGTAAGTATGAAGATCCAAGAGGAGGGGGGTGGAAGCTGAGGGATGAGGATGTGCTGGAGAAGGAGAAAGGATTAATCACAGGGTTGTACAATTTGATGGATGGAGGTCAGGTGAAATTGGAAGAATCTGGTGTGGAAAACAATATATTTGAATTTTATAAATAAACTAATATAATAAAAAAATCTTGTTTTATTAAACTTCCAGAACCATAATCCAGTTATATACTTTTTTCCATGGTTGTTGATTACCATCCAGGCAAGCACGACTCATAGAAATCCTATGAACAAAAGGCGGCCTGAAGCCTTTCTGTAACTATTGTCATTTATCAAAGTTCATGTAGTTTCCAGAGTCATATTGTTTTGGAAGTGGATGCCACTCCTGCTTCTATGGAGCTATATGGAAACAAATTTCTTAAGGACTAAATCCTAAACCTCTGTTTTGTTAGGAAAACAATAATGAGACAAGCACACTGAGGCCTAGGACACCAGAGATACCCTGTTCAGAATTCAGGCAGGTAACAATAACAATAACAAAAACAAAACAAAACCAACCTTAAAAACGATAAGACTTTGTTGTTGTTGTTGTTATGTGATATCGAGTAGCTGCGACTCATAGTGACCTATGTTCAACAGCTCTGAATGCTGCCCTATCCTGTGCCAAATTTACTGTCTCTGACACACCTACCCCCATTACTCTAGTCACTGAATCAATCCATCTCATTAAGGGTCTTCCTCTCTTGTGCTGTCTCTCCACCCTCCCAAGCATGATGTCCCTCTCCAAGGACTGGCCACTACTTGAAACAAACTCAAAGTATGTCAGGCAAAGCTTCAGAATACTTGTCCCCAAGGAGCAGCCTGGCCTCATCTTCTGTAGGATGAACCTGTTTGTTCTCCTTACAGTTCTTGGTGTATTCAATACTCTTCTCCAGCACCACAGCTCAAAGGCATCAATTCTCCTTCTATAATCCCTAGTCATTGTCCAGCTTTCCAATGCATAGCAAGTAACTGCAAAGACTATGGCCTGGATCAGGCCCACCTTAGTCTCCAGATTGACATTGTTGCTCTTCAGTCCCTTACTGAAAAGATCCCTGACAGCAGACTTTGCCAGTGCAATTTGTCTTTTGATTTCCTAGCTGCTGGTATCAAGATTGTTGATTGCTGAGCTAAGCAAACTGAAGCTGTGAACAATCTCAATCTCATCAACATCTATCACGATGTTGCCAATTGGCCCAGTGGTGAGAATCCTTGTTCTCTTGATGTTGAGCTTCAATCCATATTGAAGGCTGCAGTCCTTGACCGACTACAGCAAATGTTTCAGGTCCTCCTCAGTTTTAGCAAGCAGGATTGTGTCGTCTGTATAATACAGGTTGTTGATGAATCTTCCTCCAGTACTGATGCCACATTCCTCCTCATAGAGCCCAGACTCCTAGATGATCTCTTCCACATATAGATTGAAAAGAAATGGAGGTAGGACACAACCCTGGTGTATACCCTGTCCAATTTTGAACCATGCAGTGTTTCCTTGCTCTGTTCTGATGACTGCCTCCTGGTACATGTGTAGGTTCCACATAAGCACAATCAACTATTCTGGGACTCCCATTCTTCTTAGAGTTAGCCACAGTTTGTTGTGATATACACAAATACCTTTGCATAGTCAATGAAACACAGACATTCCTCTGGTACTCTCTGCTTTCATCCAACATTTATCTGACATTAGTTATAATATCCCTAGTACCATGGCCTCTTCTAAACTCAGCCTGTACTTCTGGTAGTTCTCGGTTGATGTGCTATTCCAGTCATTTTTGGATAATCTTCAGCAGAATCTTGCTTGCATGTGATAGTAATGATACTGTTTAATAATTTCCACACTCTGCCAGGTCATCTTTCTTTGGAATGGGAAAAAATGTAGATCTCTTCCAGTCAGTTGGCTAGGTGGATGTCCTGGAAGAGATCTATATTTGTTCCCAAACTTTACTATTGATAATAACTATATGTCAAAAGATGAAAGAAAAGAGTGAGGCCAAAAAATAAGCCTCTAGATTATGTAAATTGTATAGATTATGATTATTATGTAAAGTTCTATGAAACCCTAAGGAGTCCATGAACCTCTAATCTCTTTACCTTGACCTTCCATCTTGTTCATAAGAATTCTTTCGTGAAATAAGTTCACAAAATGCTGCAAATACAGATGTACTGGTATGTACAATAACACTATTTAATACAATATTTAATAACAATAATTAAGTTGTGCCTACAACTTAATAACACTATTTAATACAATATTTAATAACAATAATTAAGTTGTGCCTACAACTTAAGCAGGTTCAGTGCCGTCAGAAGCTTTGTGGTAAAGAAACCTATTGACTCTGGACCTTCCCCCCCCTTACACTATAAACAGTCAAACAACCCCAAACTTACTGCCATCAAATTGATTCCCACTCAGGCCAACCCTCTGTTGGTTTTCTAAGGCTATAAATCTTTAAGAAAGAGATCTTTTG